CACTTATTTTATGCTTTCAATATAGCTCTTTCTTGGCACTAAAAACACTCATCTTAATTGCTGCCAGTGCTGTTGATCCTACTTGTATTAGCATGTCTTTATGCCAAGGGGGCAAACTATTAACATAATCTAGTGAAACCTGTTGGGGCTATAATGTATCATTGTTGTTGAATATTATTATTGTAATATTTGGCTTTATCAGTGTTGATCAGAATTGACTGCACCAATCTAACTTCAGATTATGTCCTAGTATGTTTAGAAAAATAGCAGCCGTTCATAACAAAACTTTGAAGGAGCTTAGTGCCTCCACTTTGTCAGCTGTCACATAATTGTTCTAAGGGTTAAGGATGTACCACATAACTTTCAAGGAAGTTTACAACCATTGGGGTTGGTCAGATGTTAGAAGATATTTACAGTGGAACCTTGTTTTCATGAAACTTGAATCAGTATTTTGGATATAACAGACATTTAAATTTTGTCCATAACATGCTTGTCATCAAGATCCTCATTTAGCATATCAGTGCTGATAATGCTGAAGTATTTTATATGGACTTTATACATTAAACTCATGGTGGCGCAGTGGCTAGAATGCAGTACTGCAGGCTACTTCTGCTGACTGCCAGCTGCCAGCATTTTGGCAGTTTGGGTTTCACTGGCTCAGGGTTAACTCAGCCTTCCATCCTTCAGAGGTGGGTAAAATGAGGACCCAGATTGTTAGGGGCAATATGCTGTCTCTGTAAACAGCTTACAGAAGGCCGTAAAGCACTGTAGAGTGGTATATAAGTCTAAGTGCTATTGCTATTTTAAAAATCCTAATTGTCATTTAACAAACAGCCAGCTCCCATTGACGCTCCTTTTTCCATTAGTCTGTTAAACTGAAGATTTATGTTATTGTTTTGTTAAAGTCTTAAAAAAAACCATCCAGAAGACTGAGCAATGTTTCCAGAATTCAGATTTTAGTTCTCCCTGTCACTTCCCAAACTACTGTCTGTGATTTATTATTTCAGTAATTTATATGGTGAGAGTTCACAGACCCAGAATAAGTCTTTTTCATTCAGTGCTTGCTTGTATGAATGCTCAATTGTTTTATGTTCTTTCGTCACAGTGCAGAACCTTTTCAATTCAGCTCCAATTGATACTTTCGCATTATGTAATTTTTATTCTATCCTGTAAGATTTATTTTATTTTATTTTAATCTCAGAATAATAAGATTATATATGCTATGTCCTGTATATGTATTTTCTGTGTATAGCATAGCTAAAAGACAAGATTTATTTTTGGAAAAGAATCCTGTTTAACTGTATTCTGTAACTAGAATTTATTTAAACTTAAAATGTACTTCCTTATAGACATAGGGTGGATAACAAAGAATTATAAAGCATGAAATCCAAATTATAAGGACTCTGTGATTTAATTATGTGAATGGATTACACTGTGGCTTTAAACATGTGTTGGACAAATATTCATAGATGTATCCTGGAAATCATTGCGGTTTTGTTGCTGCTTCCCATAATACACAATTACTTTACAAATCTATAGAACAACTTCAGTTATCTTCTGATCAGAGCAAAAATAGCAAAACATAGATTTAAAAAAGTTTAGATATATTATGTTAAAAAGCATGATTTTGCACTAGGGAATTTCCTACAAATAGCTATGTCTTAGAGTTAGACAATGAATGAAATTTGCAAGAAGTCTGTGAGGAAAAGCTTTCAGCCAAGAATGTTAAATGTTTCTGTGAATTTTTATAATTTCCATAAGTGTAGTCTTTTGATTTTTCTCTTGGTTTTGCAGCTTCCAGATAATAAAAACTGAAGGACCTTTAGAAAAAGAAATGTAGATAATATAATAACAATTAGATTTTCTATTAAAACCAACAATAGGATAATGCTTGTTCTGTTTCATACTTCAAATTGTCATGGCTAGTCTGTGCACTATGAAATTATTTTTGTTGATTCAATCTCGCGTTAAGAAGTACTATGGCTAAAATATGTGGGAAGTATAATGAAAGCAGTGTCAAGCAAGGCCACAGCTCATCCTAAGTCAAAGCATGCCAATAGGGACCGGAGGGAGGTGCATCTTTGGCAGAGGAAAGCTATGAGTGTAAACTTGTGAAATGTTGACACAGCAGTGAAAAGAGTTGGCCCTGTAGCCTCCTCAGGATATGAACTGAAATGATGGTCTCTTCCTTTCCATCTGCTGATTTATGCTTTCCACCTCTTACCCTGCAACACAAACACTTAAAGATTATTTCAGCTATTTCATGGATAAGAAATTAGAGTAAATCATTTGGGTGGAAACTTTGTTAACGGTTAAAAATGACATAAATCAAATAAAGCCCAGTGACATTTACTTCTGCTTAACACAGTTTCTCTAACCTAAGGGCTAGCAGTAAAATAGAAACAAAAGCAGAATTACAGCTATGCGTTTGTCAGAAAATGATCCTTTTCTACATCTGTATATACTCTGCTGGTCCTGGTGTTTTAAAAGCTGGAGTGGCCGAAGTGATATCTAAATATCTATCTATATCTAAATAAGAGATAGATAGATGATAGATAGATAGATAGATAGATAGATAGATAGATAGATAGATAGATATACTGTTTTGTGGGGTAATTGTTGTGGGGAAACTCGTGTCAAGTTCACATGCTCATTTTATTTTACACATCTTTTGATTAAATTAATATTTTTGTGGCATTGTAACTGTAGATTCAGAAAAATAGCTCTAGCCGCATGCAAGTAGTATGACGAATTAATATAAATGGGTGGCTACTATTGCGCAAAGCACGGACACTTTATCAAAACAATTGTTCATGTGATTCCAGGTAACATAGATCATGCCAGTCTGAATCATTTTTTCAGCAATAGTTTAAAAGGTGCATGATGAAAGTCAGGGTGGATTTGATTTAAATCAATTCGATTTAAATCATGATTTAAATCACTAGTAAAAAGGCTTGATTTAATTCAACTCGATTTAAATCATAATTTTTAAAGAACAACTGTCATCTCTGTCCTGCAGTAGCTCCTCTGACCTGTTGTTGATTTACTGACAGTCCCAGTATTGCAGAATATACAGCCACATGCTACATAACTAAGCTCCATTTCATGCTAAATAAACTATTAATGTATCTTAAATAGAAAACTATCTTTAGATAGATGTTTACTCCAAAAGCATTTTATTAAAATAAATTTGATCAAAATAAAAAAATCCGATTTAAATTTAAAAAATCGATTTATTTATTTACTTATTTTTAAAACCATTGATTTTTATTACCCTGATGAAAGACACCAAAGCCATGACATCATTCATTTGCATATGAATGTATCTGACTTTAGCTATCTTTTCTGAATCAGGAATTGAGGATGAGGATGATGGTGGGGGAAGCTGAGACTCTTTCAGCTGACACTGGACTACACCTCCACCATTCCTGCCTATTGGCCATTCCATCTGCAGTGGAGAACATTAGGCCTCAACAATGTGACCTGGGCTTCACCTGCCATAGCAATAATTTCTTGGCCAAGCTATGCATTTTCTTTTGATATTAACTTTATTCTTATCTTCTGCTTACTCTTCTCTGTCTTTTTATAAAGCCAACCTTTGTGCTCAATGTTCTATCTGACCCTGAACTATGAGAGAGATTATAATTATCAGATGTTTCTGCACGAATGCCTTGGCATTCAGTGTTACCTGTTCACCATTTTAACAGAGAGTATATAAGTATAAGAGTTTATATGTTGTTATAGGCATTGCCTGAGTTTCTATACACACTGTATTATGGGACAAATGATGTGGCCTGTTTTGCAAGTCACATCTGAATTTTTTAGACCAATCTTTTAAGTTTCAATTTCCATGTAATCGCTACTTAAAGCAAAAATCGTTTGTTTTTTAAAGAGACTATACGAGTCTGTTTCATTCATTTTCACTGGAGGAATGAGTTCTTTTCCATACATTGTTTGTGTATTTTGTGGCACTGCTGTCCCACCATTTTCTGAAGCTTAAGGAGGTGTACATGGAGGCCTAAGCTTATTTTATCACCAGGAGAAAAGTCTTGTGCTGAAATAGATGTTTGGCCAAAGTCATGTGGTAAACTGTGTGGCTGAGTAAGACTTAAAAATGAGTCTTCCCGGGCCTAGTCAAATGCTTTAACTACTAGACTATTTTACATTGGTTTTATCTCTGCACACACGCCTCTTTCAGAGAGTTAGCCCGATGATGTAAACTAAAACCAGGAAGACTGGGTTCAAACTCACTCTCAGCCATTAGATGATGCTAGGTTAGTGACATATCTTATCCCACAGAGTTATTATATTGGGAGTAAAATATAATTGATCCCCATGTGCCTGGAGCACCTGGAGAAATGGTGGCTACATATAAATAAATAGACCAATAAGAAAAGGTGTAAGTTGCCTCAAAGTAGTGCCTGTGCAGAACAGAAGTTGATTTTCTTAAGTAATGTTGCTGGATAAATGCTTGGAAAGAATGCTTTAACAATCACACAATCTAATTTGCTTTTGACAGACAGTTTGATCTTTGAAGTTTGACCTGATAGTATAAAATTAATTTTAAAAGATGAAGCAAAGAAATAACAATTTCATGAGCACCCTACTGTGGTTCTATTGTTTTGAATTTTTTTTTTAGCATTGCTGTGCCCTGCAAGGAAGGATAATATTGGTTGTTTTTAAACAACAATAACAGCAGTCAGAAACCACCACCCTCCCTTCAATTTAGGTTATTAGTTTCTGCATATAAGGATTTTATTATATTTTTCCAAATTTGCTCAGAATTAAATGATTTACCACGTACTGCTGCTTTTCTGAATTATTCAGTTTCTAAAATCCACAATTATTGAACATTGTGTATTTGTGCTGATAGTAAGTATGGCCATGTTTATCATTAGGCCACAAATGTATGAAGAATTGGAAAAATACATTTCCTTTCTCTTTTTTTTTTAATATCATATTTTACTGCATTTTTGAATGACTTGTATCATTTTTTATAGGTGGTCTCAGAAGCTGCTGGGCAAGGAGTTTCAATCGATGCTAATGACACATTTAATTACTGGAACTGGCCTAATGCTGTCATCTTTGCTGCTACAGTGATTACAACCATTGGCAAGTATCAGTTTGTCCATAATTTATATATTTAACAATATAGGGAAATACTATTTAATGAAATGAAAAACTGAAACATTGGAAGAATCTGGAGGGGGTTGATTATATGGTGGTATCTTAGTTTGGTCTTCTAGATCTCAGTGCCTTTTGCCTTTTCAGTCTCTTTGCCTTTTTTTTAAGACTGACAATTTAAAGACACAAATATTGGCCTCATGAATAGCTCTACCTGCCCTAGTAGAAATAGATTCTCTGTTTACTGACTTTGAATCAATCTATTATGTAAAACATAGGGAAAGAAAGCACAGGGGAAAGAGATTTCTATGACAATATTTTTCTTCCATAGAAATGCCTAACAATTGGATTTCTAAATCCATTATCCTGAATATATAGCCATTTGTTTTGTAAGAAGATTATTTTTTCAAAAGCCATGTATTTCAAGATGGTGGCTTTACAATACTGCAGTGAGAAATGTTATCCCTGCAGTTCTCAAGGTATTGCTGACTTTGATGGAAAAATCGCAGAATAAATATGATAACGGAACTGTGGGATGACATTTTTTTCAGGTTTGCTTTTGTGCTATCCCTGTAAGATACAGAAAAAACATAAGTGTTACAAAGTTTGTTTGTTCTGATGCAGAACACACATAGTGCTGGAAAACAAACTGACCAGGGAAAGTGGGAAAGGGAATTAGAAACCTTGCTGCTAAATCAAATAAAGCACCATGCTTCATTTGTTACTATTATTAAAATCTATTTGAAATATATGTGATGGTTCCTCTCTTCCAATATTTCCCATAAGCAACTCAAGAAAACCAATGCAACATTTTTATAGTTTGGCTTTCACAATGTTTACTAGAAGAGGGGTCCCCAACCTGTGGGGAACCATGAGGGGATTGCAGTCGGGCCGGGAAAAGGGCCGGCGAGCCTGGGCGTGCACTCTATTTGCATGAGCAGCATGCACGCTCATGCCGCTTGTGCAAATGGAGCCACATGCATGGACGCTTGCCGGCTGCTCAAACAGAACCATCCCCTCTCCCCCCGCCAGTCCGCAAAGCTGGAAACTTGGGGAACTTTGTAGTAGAAGATGAAGTTAGATCAGCATTCCAGTCATTAACAAATCAAAAACCTATAGGAACTAGTGGACTATCCATTCAAATATGACAAGTAACTTAAAGAAGAATTAGAAATATTATACAATATTCTTAATTTTACATTTTGTAGCAAAGCAATGCTTAGGACCACCCAATATAGATTAGAACCCTACATGGAAAAAGATATGCCAAATGTTCAACAAGCATTAGAAAAGAAACATGAGACTTCATTGCTGCTGCATGCTGGATAATTGAGAAAGCCAAAGAACACAAAAAAATAAGTCATTATGTGCTGAATAGATTATTTAAAAGCCTTTGAAAATGGGAATCTCAAAATACCTCATTGTTCTTGTGAGAAACCTTTATGAGGTCACGAAGCAACAGACTGGCTCCAGGTTGGCAAAGGAATGAAGCGCAAGATCTTATAATCTCTATAATCTATTATATACCCAACCTATATGATGAATATATATTAAAGGAAGCTGGTTTGGAAGATGAGCATGGCTTTAAAATTAGAGGAAGAAATATTAATATCAATAACTACTATCAATGACACTACTTGGTAGCTGAAAAAGCAAAATATCTGCAAATTAAACATAAAGACCAAAGTAATGACAACATGCTTTAGAATAGACAACTAGCTTTGGAATTAATAATGAAGGTACTGTATTGAAGGCTTGTATTGAAGGTACTGTATTGAAGATACTGTATTGAAAGGCTTGTGTCTTTTAGGATCAACCATCAGTAATAAAGGAACAAGCAGTCAAGAAATATGTCACAGACTAAGAGCAGCCATGAAGGTCTTGGAAAAGTTATTCAGACACCCTGATGTGTCTATAACGATAAAGTCTCAAAGGAGCAGGATAGGAAGCATATTCATGCTTTTGAACTTTGGTATTGGAGAAGATTCCTGAGAATATTTATTTATTTATTTATTTATTTATTTAATTTGTATACCGCCCTTCTCCCGGAAGGGACTCAGGGCGGTGAACAGCCAAGATTAAAAAACATACAAATGCAAAAGTTAAGATAATTAAAAGAATTAAATCATTGGCTACCCAAATTTAAAACCCCAAATCCATAAAATTTAAAATCCCAATTAAAAACCATTTAGGCTAGGCCGGCTTGATGAAATAAAAACGTCTTCAGGGCTTTACGGAAGGTCCGGAGGTCCGGGATCAATCGTATTCCAGGAGGCAGCTCATTCCACAGGGCGGGTGCCCCCACAGAGAAGGCTCGCCCCCTGGGGGCCGCCAGCCAACATTGCCTGACCGACGGCACCCCGAGGAGGCCCTCTCTGTGAGAGCGTATTGGCCGGTGGGAGGTTATCGGTAGCAGCAGGCGGTCTCGCAAATACCCTGGCCCTAAGCCATGGAGCGCTTTAAAGATGAGAACCAACACCTTAAAGCGCACCCGGAAGACCACCGGGAGCCAATGCAGCTCGCGCAGGAGAGGTGTTACGTGGGAGCGCCACGTCGCTCCCATAATCACCCGCGCAGCCGCATTCTGCACCAGCTGGAGCCTCCGGGTGCTCCTCAGGGGGAGCCCCATGTAGAGAGCGTTACAGTAGTCCAGGCGTGACGTAACCAAGGCATGAGTGACTGTGCACAAGGAGTCCCGATCCAGAAAGGGGCGCAACTGGCGTATCAGGCGAACCTGATAAAAAGCCCCCCTGGCCACGGCCGTCATATGCTCTTCTAAAGACAGCCGTGTGTCCAGGAGGACGCCCAAGTTGCGAGCCCCCTCTGTGGGGGTCAGTGACTCGCCCCCAATAGCCAGCGATGGCACCAGCTGGCTATACCGGGACGCCGGCATCCACAGCCACTCGGTCTTGGAAGGGTTGAGCCGAAGCCTGTTCCTCCCCATCCAGACCCGCACGGCCTCCAGACACTGGGACATCACTTCGAGGGCATCATTGGGGTGGTCTGGGGTGGAAATGTACAGCTGAGTGTCATCAGCGTACAGATGGCATCGCACCCCAAAACCACGGATGATCTCACCCAGCGGCTTCACATAAATGTTGAACAGGAGCGGCGAGATATAATATAATGGGCAGCCAAGAAAAGAAATCAATCCAGAGTTGTCATTCGAGGCACAAATGACTGGGATATATTATGAAAAATATGTCCTTAGGATATATTATGAAAAAGACCTAGGTAGCTCTGTGGAGAAGTTTATGATTCTGGGAAAGATGGAAGGAAAGAGGAAAAAAAGACAATCAGCAGCAAGGTGGCTAGACACAGTTGTAGTGGCAAATGGTCACCATTGGAAGACATGATAGACCATTTTAGGACATATCATCATGGAAAAAATCTGAGGTTGTTAAGAATAAGCTCTATAATTTTTTCGGCATCTAATCATAAAAGATAAATTAACACCTTTTATTATATGTGACTCTCCTGGCATGGTTAACTTTTTAATCACAATATTCTTTTTCAGGTTATGGAAATGTTGCTCCAAAAACTTCAGCTGGGCGACTTTTCTGTATCTTTTATGGACTTTTTGGTGTTCCACTCTGCTTAACATGGATCAGTGCTTTGGGAAAATTTTTTGGTGGTCGTGCCAAGAGGCTGGGCCAATTCCTAACGAAGAGAGGAGTAAGCCTGGTATGGAATTCTGTTTAATTTGCTTCCAGCACATGAAAATTATTGGAATTGGATTATAAACAATCTCAAGAAAACCCAATTTAAGGAAGGATTCTCTAGCACCTTTATATCCTAACTAATAGTTAATGTGATTTTTAAAAATCTATGCTGCAATTCCACATCTCTGCCTCTGGACAAAAATAGTAAAAAAATAAATAAATCATAATTTCTATTAAACTCTCCATAATTTTGGATTTTTAGCCCAGGATTGCCACTAAATTTTCTGTATTAACTGTTGCATAGCAAGGAATTTGATAGTGAGAACGTAAGAAGGCAGAATACTGTCTAAAATGAATCTGCTTAAATTGTGTGTCATTTTCTTGCTTTTCTATTAAAACTATGTAGCTTCATAGGAGTTCCGCTTTTCTCTTTTCTTTTAAATTCCCTAGATTTGAGAATTCTGCTTACTCAAAGACAGAGTATTTACATTCTGCCCATCTTATGCAACCTCTGCTTTTTGCTATGTCAGTTATCTGTTTCCTGTTCCTTGGTGCTGTTTATAACTTCCTTGACTAAAAGGAAAGCTGACTGTAAACCATAATAAGCTAACAGTTTAGATTTTAGTGCAACATTCACCCAGTCAATATCATAATGCCCTGATTTAAATTGATGTTGCAGCTGCATCTGGCATATTATGTCTGGCTCTGGTCTCCAGATTTCAAAAAGGGTATAGCAGTGATGGCAAACCTATGGCACGCGTGCCAGAGGTGGTACGCAGCACCCTCTCTGTGGGCACACGAGCCATCGCCCCAACTCTGCTTTGTCGCGCATGCGCGCGCACCTCCCACCAGCCAACTGGCCTTTGGGTCTCTGCTGCGCATGCAGGGGAGGAGGGGTGCATGCGGGGCCCACGCTTGCATGCGTGGGGGTGGGAAGCATGCAGGGGGCTGCACGCACATGCATGGGGTGGAGCGCATAAAGGGGTGGTGCACGCACATTGCTTTTTGGGGGTTCGGGCGCACGTGCTCTGGGCACTTGGTCCAGAAAGGGTTAGCCATCACTGGGGTATAGTATAGTCAGAGAAAGAGGAAGGCAACTGAAATGGTCAAGGGGCTATAGCTGTTTGCCTGTGAGGCTTTTTCATTTAGAAAGGAAGTGAATGACAGGTGACATAATTGAGGTGCACAACATTTTGAATGGTGTGAATAAAGGAGACAACAAGAAACAATGTTCCCTTTGCCAAAATATAAGAACTAGAGGTCACCCAGTGAAATTGAATCAGGACAGAACAGATAAAAGGTTTTTTTAAAAAAAAAAACCATAACACTTAATTGAACTTTGGAATTTGGGATGACATGCTGACTACCAGCTTGGTTACCTTCAAAAAAAATGCTCAACCAATTCATAAAAATCACGAGGATCAGAGGCTTTGCATCTGAAGGCCATCTGCTGGAAACCGGCAGTCTCCATGTGCAATTGATTGACCTTCCTGAGAATACACTGCTGGACTAGATTGACGGGTCCATCCAGCAGCTGATGTTCTAGGCCTGAATATTACCTTGTTTTAACAGATCACATTTTATATAGTCTTGGAAAATGCATTTGGTAGGTAATTTTTCAGTGATGAAATGAGTCAAAGAACCTTTATAGGGAAATTAGAAATTATAAAAGTGTTATAAAGTGTTATAAAAAGGACATTTCTCAAGGAATTTCTACAATTTATTATTATAGTTGGTGGAATAGAGATGTAATAGATGAGAACATTTCACCAAGCAAAAATGACACATATAGGACTTTGTGCACACAGATGAAACAGGAAGTAAAGTAGAAATTTTCAACCTTGTTTCTGCACAAAATAGCCAGAAATAATAGCAACTTCCTGTAGCTTATAGTTATTCTGTTGTTGCTGCCAGACAGTATATCAAAAATATGATAGGTTGGGCTTTCTAAATATGAGGAAAAAATCTACTAAATGTAGATTGCACTGTATGATTGATCCTTCTTCTTTCCTTCCATTTATTACAGAGAAAGGCACAAATTACTTGCACAGCTATCTTTATCATTTGGGGCATTCTGGTCCACTTAGTTCTTCCTCCTTTGGTTTTTATGGTGACTGAAGAATGGGATTACATTGAAGGCCTCTACTTCTCATTCATCACCATCACGACAATAGGATTCGGAGACTATGTTGCTGGTCAGTAATAAACTTGTCATTTGAGTACCTTCTAATGTGAATATTTTGTGAATTTTCAGCAGTTCACCTTTAAAGATTTTAAAACATGTAAATAGAAATGAGCAGTACTATAACTAATTGCAATTAAGATTAAAGTAATGTGTTGGTCTCTGTACTGTGCAGAGACTCAAGACAAAAAAAAAGAGGGATGAAACAATTATTTCAAGGAACAACCATGGAACTGTGTGTATTTGCTGTTCTGCTTCCTCTAAGCCAGATGATATCTACAATGCTTTCATTGTCTAAACTTATGGGCAACTTGACAAATAAACAAGCCTAGATTGTAAGATGTTAGTTATTTGTATGTGTTGGATGTTGAAATAATCATAATTCTAATCATTTAGCTAATGAACTTTGAATGTTTTTCTTTTCTAATTTCCAGAGTAGACAGCTGTCATCTTAGTATCTGAGCCTCAGTTGACTACTGAAGTCTCAGAAATGGGATAAGATAGACTTCTAGAGATTTGCCAAAACTTCCTGTAAATGTGCCATAAGCACAACTTATTCAAGAAAATGTTGAGTTTTTAGTAAAGTTAACAAATTTCTGGATCAGTGGATCACTTACCCGTGTACAGTAGCTGAATTTATATTTCTTGTGCTGTCTTTTTTTTTTTCTTTTTAGGTGTGAATCCAAATATGGACTACCACTCCCTGTATAGATACTTTGTGGAGCTGTGGATCTACCTAGGCCTTGCTTGGCTTTCATTGTTCGTCAATTGGAAAGTCAGCATGTTTGTAGAAGTTCACAAAGCAATCAAGAAACGAAGGAAGAAAAGAAAAGAGTCCTTTGAAAATCACTCTCCCACCAAAAAAGTTCTTCAGATGTCTAACACAAAAGATATCAACATATTCAGTTTCCTTTCCAAAAAGGAAGAAAGTTACAATGATCTCATTAAACAGATTGGAAAGAAGGCTTTGAAAACAAGCAGTGATAAAATTCTCAACTCGGAGCAAACCAAGCCAACCTTACAGCACACCAATAAAGACCTCAAAGTGATGTACACAAGGAACAATATGTTTGACTTTGACAATGTTTCTCTTGGACTGCAAAACTATCACGTGATGAGGCATTTGACTGACAAACGTCTTGGGGACAGCCCAATAGAAGGCAATGTGTTTGTAAATCAGCTGGACCGGATCAGTGAAGAAGAAGGGGAAGCATGGGATTCTCGGGATTATCGACCGTTGATTTTCGAAAATGCCAACATAAAATTTGTAAATGAGGGTGAGGATGAAGAGGAGGACCTTTCAGATGATGAAGAAACTTCAAAGTCTTCAGTGGATGACAATCTTGCACAGGAGCCTCAAAGCCCCCAGAAACTGCTGAAATTTTCATCCTCTGATGAATCTACTTTTACCAGTAATGAGATGGTGATATCAGTGCCTTATGAGCAGCTTATGAATGACTATAACACATCAGATACTGCCAAGGCTGCAACGTGAGAAAGGTGGGAGGGAGTTTCTTGAAATCATATGATGCAAAATGTTAATAGATAACGATCTGAATCAACAACCATAAGTGAAGAAGAAGAAATATCCTATGAGATATTTTCCACCACTTCCTTCTGTTAAGCAGACTGAAAACACGTGTTGCCTGGATCTTGTCTGTTGGTGAATTTTATTCACTATGAAATAACTGTCCTAAAACCTTGAAGGTTCTCTAGGGATTTGATGGTTTTTGAATTTAAGAGAGGAAAAGCCTAAACTGATTGGACCTGTCTGTTCTTCCTTCCTTCCTTCCTTCCTTCCTTCCTTCCTTCCTTCCTTCCTTCCTTCCTTCCTTCCTCTCTGTCTCTCTTTCTTTCTCCCTCCCTCCCTCCCTCCCTTCCTCTCTCTTTCCTTAAGATTGCAGTCAGACTGGTTTTGGTTGATTGCAGGCCATGGTTACATTGGATTACTGCATTAACTCTTCAGCCCTGAAGAAACTGAATGCAAATCATGCCAAGGTTCAGAAGGAAAAATATTGATGGATTTATCATAGTCACATCACAAAACTCTCTTCATTCTCCCTTAAGGGATGCTTGAACTGGAAGAAGAGCAGAGTATTCTGAAGGCCAGAGTTGAGATACATGGGTGACTTGACTAGTGTTTGTCTAAGTTAATATAGCTCTGTTGAATTATGAGCTGAAGTTCATGAACAAAAATACTAACTTGAAACACAAGGTCAGTCTACTGGAAATATGGATTTTGTATGGACAAGAAACTAAATATTTCCAAATGTTCCTGATGTTTGTGAAAAGCACATATAACGGATTGAAATACAGTAAAACAGAATGGTGCAAGAAGATACAGAGAGGATAATTAAAAATGAAGAAAAGCACAGTAACAAACTTTTTTTTTGCATCAGAAGTGCCCTTTCACCATCATCCATACTCTAGAGGAAATACTTGAATGAACTTCATTTATAGGTCTAAGTGAAGTTTAAAGGAACTCTGCTTCTGAATAAGTGTATCTTATTAAATAGGTTGAATAGCTGAAGTTCCATTTGAAGGATTTAATAACTAATTTCTTCTTTGTTCTGTCAGTGTCTCCATTTCTATAAAGTTCTCCACTCCATCCGGTACTTTAGTATTAGGGAATATTGTGTTATGAGATGAAATACCGCTGAAGTATTTCAGGTGGCTTTCTAAATAAAGTGTTAGCTTATTTTTAATGAGTTCCTTTAACAAAAGAGAAGGAGTATGAGAAGTATTACAGAAGCAACGAAATGTAATTGTCACATCAAAATTTATCTATCTTTTTATATTACTATAAAACTGTCACAATGATTGGGATTATTTTTAAAGTAGAAAGCTGCCTATGATTTGTAACTTTCTGCTGAAAAACAATTCTCAGAAGTATTCTAGCAGTGTAAGTACTGGAGCTACTTGGATGATTTACACTCCAGTGTAAATCTTTTATGTTATAGTTCAGTGGCTTCAGTTTGGAAATAGAATGAAAATTATAGCTATTGAAACCTTGAGGAGAGGATTTCAGAATTGAAAATGGTAATAAGGCCAAGTGGAATTTTGCAGAACTAATTGTGAATAATAAGGTACATTCAAATCCACTCATGTGCTTAATTTTGAATCTTACGTTGTGAGAGTGAATGTATTTATTATCTTTAGAAACTTGTCTCTGACTAGATGTACACTCCTGTTCGCAAATGCTTCTTGAAAAGACAGTTTTAACATATATGCTGAAAAAAAGTCCATTCCTGTTTTGAATTGTACACAGTTTATGCAGAAATGTTTGCAGAAACTTCATTACTAAGGAACCCAAACAGTTGTATTTTCATACAGTTATTTCATTGAAGGTTCCAGTGTTACCATTTGGTTCTAGCTCAAGAGGCTATTTTTGTTGCTCCCTAAAACATGGTAGCTATTTGAGTAGATGGTTCCTTGAAAGACAAGGTTGATTTTTTTATTGCTAAACAGTAAACCATCTTTATCATCAAACAGCTCAAAGACCCAGAGGTGTTGTCTTAAATTTACATTTCCAATTGAGCGGTTCTTAGTTATGAATACCACTTGTGTCATGTGTAAATGACAAAAGTATATCTGGCTTTCTTGAAAGTAACCCTGTAAAGCTGATGTATTCTGGGATATATTTCATAAATGAATGGCTAAAAAGTTTGCCTCTGCACTAAAGAAGCACACAGTAGTGTGTAAAATGAATATTATTAATGCTTTACAGCATTTTAAATACAGTACAGGAACAGAAAGGTGAGAGTGGATGATAAGTGTATGTTGCTGCTTTGGATGTATCTCTTTTGGATTGTTTATGTGCTGGATTGCACAGGTAGACAGATGTGAAATGACAAGCTTGAAACAGCTTGCATATAGAGATAAGGTCCTTTCTAAAGTTCAGGCTTGGTGCTGCTGTTTAGGTTTGATGCACAGGGTATTAATACCTTCCTTTAAAAGTGTCCCATAATTTGAGGGATTTGTCTAGCTGTCAAATAAGCATCATGTTTTTAAAATTGAAATCAAGATAAAATTGATAGTTAGACTTTGGTTTGCTATTTGAGCTTATTAGTGGAGATTTATTCCAAGTGCTTGGACCATTGACAGGAGCCTTAATTCTTAATAATTCCATTTTGTGCCTTGCTACAGGTGAAATGACAAAATGTACTTACTCACTGTGACTAGCACAAAGGTGTATGAAATGTTTTATTAGCTGCATAATGTGTTCAATTGCCCTTTATCTGAGTACAGTTTTCCAGCAGGCATTACATGGTAGCAAATTGACCCTATTAGAGAATTGATCTTCCTTACCATTCTCATAGGAAATATTGTCTTCCATGTATTAAGGGAAACTAGACTTTTTGTTCTGAGTCTTTATTTATGGCTCTGGACAAATAAATTAAATACGATGACAAAGGAGGCAATTTTTGTTCTGATTTTGGGATTTGATGAACTAACATATTAAAGAAACATTGATTCAGGGAGGAGATTCAATAACACTTGAAGGGTCTTCGATTCTCTGGCTCTTTGACTACATTTTGGAAAGAATATGCATAATATGAAATATTGTGGAATGTGAGGTTTGCAGACCGCTACTGCTTTTTTTATGAAGACAGGGGACTGTACAGTTTAACAGAGCTAACCAGATTAGCTTTGGGTTCATGTTATATAACTGTTTACAGAAGGCATTTAACAAAATGGTTGCTAGCTATCAAAAGCACCAGAGCATGAATAGTACTCATATGTTTCAAAACAAGAGGGAGGGATCTTCCTTGGTACCTCTATAAACTGTGGATCATGAAGCCTTAATAATGCTGCTTTCTCTGTTTTTCCCTATAACCGATATTATGAGTTGTTGAAAACAAAAATTGTTTCAGAAGTTGAAGCAATGGGATGAGTGACTTTTCTTCCTATTACTCAGTAGAATTCTCCCATAATCACAATTAATTAAGCCTGGTAGTATTTCCTGGAGTTGTTTTCAATAATTATATGGCAAAATGATAAAGAATGGAAACTACACTTACTATTGATTTCCAAACATATTTAATACAAAACTGATTCACAGTTTCCATAACAGTTTTATGTAAAGTACTATTCATACTTATTTTAAAATGTGCCACTGAAAGAACCGAGTAGAGTACTGTTAAGCAAGAGGGAAACGTTTTGAAAAAGGTCCTCTTTCTTTGCAAGTATGATTAACTCCATTGCTGGCAATGGATATATCAAAACATTGCAAAATCACAGCCGGTTCTTCTTGTTTTGTATCCCTAAACGTGGCCTGGTTTATCACTTTCTTTTATAGTGCTACCTTTTGTATCTTGTTTTAATTGGAAATAAAAAGCAATACATAAAACTCCTATTGAGACATAAATTTTGGCTACCACTTTGACCCATTTTTAATTTTTATACCTTCTGTGCTGCACTGAACTCCTAGAGCTAAGGCATCACTGTTTCAAATAGTTCACAAAATCTGAACAGCCTTGAATTTGTCTCTGTCACTCCATCACATGAAAGAGACACAAGGGTTTTGTTTTGTTTTTATCAGTTCTTGTTTGCTAATTTGTCACTGGAATCACTGTATGTAAATATTAGACTTTATAAAATGTAATTTATTTTAACATTTTTTTTCAATAAAAATGAAGCCTTTTTTTAAAAAAAAAACTCTGATGTCTTCATTTTTTAAGGGACTAGATGAGAAATGAACTTGTAATGGCTTTCTTCCATTTAATTAACCTTTTGTCCAGGCTCATTGTTGAAAGTAAGCATTGACAACGAACGTTGATAAAACATATATTTAAAATTTACTTTTACACCACCATGAAATTGGACATAAGCCCATTTTGTCATAAATAGCAGCACTGGCTATTTGAAGGGCATGCATTATATTCGGGATAAATTGTGGAATTTTCACTATAGTACTGGCTAACATAACCATTATAGCAATAACAATAGCACTTAGACTTATATATGCTTCATAGTGCTTTACAGCCCTTTCTAAGCGGTTTATAGAGTCACCATACAATCTGGATCCTCATTTTACCGACCTCGGAAGGATGGAAGGCTGAGTCAACTTTGAGCTGCTCAGAATTGAGCTGGAGTGAGCAGTGAGTTAGCCTGCAGTACTGCATTCTAACCACTACGCCAGTGGTCCCCAACCTTTGTGTCTTGACAGCCTGGCTGGGGCGGGGGAGAGAGGAACTGGGCTGCAGGAGCAGTGGGTCAGGCACAGGCATGTGCAGCTCCATTCACGCAAGAGAAAAACCTTTGGGACGTGATCTTGGCTCCTTCAGGCTTCTTCACACCAAAAGCTTTTGCAAAGGGAAGCAGCATGAGATCACTCTTCTGAAGCCTTTCGTCCATTTGCAAAAGCTTTTGGCACAGAGAAGAGAAGGCTTTGGGAGCGCAATCTCATTCTCACTGAGACTCACTGAGGCTTCCCGACGCTCCAAAAGTGGGTAGGATGTCCTGCGCAGGCAGCCTCAGTGAGTCAGCAAAGCTGAGCAGGGCGTGCTTGTCCCACTCAGGCTCTTCTCACCATTCCGCTTTTGAAGCATTGGGAGCAGGCAACTTGGCACCCAGCTGTGGGGGACAGGGGAATTGGGCCACTCAAGTTCTGAGCCAGCGCGCATATGCAGCTCCACTCATGCAAGAGAGAAGCCTTTGGGGCACTGCTCATGTGAGTGGAGTTGCGCGTGCACACACTGGCCCACACTCAATGTGGCCCAGATGCAAATAGGCCACGACCCAGTAGTGGAACACGGCCCACAGGTTTGGACCCCTGCACTAGGCCACCACAGCTCATACTCATTATCACAATATACAGGTAGTCCTCACTTACCAACTACAATTGGAACCATCAACGTCATCACTAAGCAGCACAGTCACAAACTAAAATGTGATGTGACTTTGACTGACTTATGAAATAAATTCTGGTTGTGGTGGTTAGGTGTGAGGTCATGTGAACACCCCTTGTGAGTTCTTGTCTGCTTCCCAATGCTTGTTGGAAGCTGGCTGTGAAGGTTAGAAATGATGATCACATGACCATAAGACACTGTGCCATTGTAAATGCACACTATTTGCCAAATTCCTGAATTGTGAACACGTGATCAAAGGGCCACTGTGACAGCCTCAACTTCATAGACCAGTTTTAAGTCTCCTTTTCAGTTCCATCGAAACTTCAATTGCTGAATGGTTGGTAAGCAACAACTCTCAATATCTCAAAGCAGGAAAAGAGTAATCAAATGCATTGATTAACCACTGCTTGCAAAGTATCTTATTTACATTTCACCTTTCCTCCAGGAACTCAAAGCCAATTTACACAGAATCCTTTCCATTTTTCCCCCACAACAACCTTGTGAGTTATGTTGAACTGAAAAAGACTTACTGATCCAAAATCAACTTCCATGGCAGTGGGTGTCTCTGATTCTAGTCCAGCATTATAACCATCATACGACACTGGTGTCTTGGATGTTCTGCTACAAATGTATCTCCTTTCAAAATTAAGTGTCCTTTGTTACACCCCCACCCCCTGTACAAGGCTCCTTCCCATGAATTCTAATGAGTCTCATCTAATCCATCCCAGTACTTATAGTTGTTCTGGCATGGATGTGTCCTGCTACATGATCCTAACTATATTGGATGTTCTCATGTATAAAATCTTTGCAGTAGCAGATTTCAAAAAAGGAGAACATATTTAGAAAAGCAGAAGAGAACTGTACTTCATCAGAGAGAAAAAAGTGCAGAAATAGTTTCATCAATTCTAAATAAGAGTACCTGGAAAGGCAGATTAATTCACAGGTTTTTCTTCACAAATGTCTGTTGGCTAAAGCAAAGACTGGCCAAATCTGGCCCACTACTTGTTTTTGTACAAAGAGCTACAAATGAATGGATGGGAAGCAGGAGATTGACAAGCCTGAGCCTCACCCAAGCTTTCAGAATGAAGGATATAGCCAAGGTGCTGTGTGATGATGGTTATCAACTCTGGGCAGCTCACAGCAGTCAAAAGTTACAAACTGCAAAACCATAAAATCGCAGAACTAAAACTATTATTATAAGCACTATTTTGTGCATGAATGTAATTTGCAAGGAGAGGATTTGGAAGATGGCTCTTATTTGAGATTCAGTTTTCTTAGAAAGAGATCGGTGGGTTGATCTAATTTATTTGCATATGCACATGCAAATGCCAAAGGTGAGGAATTATGGGAAGTGCTGGAAATGTGGATGTGTATCTTTTTCCATCAGGCAATTCTTAGGACATAGCTGGGCTGTCTCCAACCAGACCACATTCTTTTACAGGGCGGGGTTCCCATTAGAAACCTACATCTTGAAATCAGAAGTCTTAAGCTCCTTCCATCATAAAGGGTGAATCAGGCCAATCTCAAATCTACAGTAGGTACCATCAAATGACTATATTTTTTTCAGGCAGAGAAGGTAAAATACTTCACAAATTAAATCTACCATTATTGAAAGCATAGGTGATACATAGAGGACTAAACATTGGGCCAATTCAGATTATTAAATGGTATAAAGCAGGTGTCCGCAACCTCTGGACCGTAGCTGTTTGCAGCCGGGCCACAGAAACGGCAGGTGAGCGTTCACGCACACATGCACACCCTCATGTGTGAACAGCGGGTACACATGCCGGCCACACGGCCAAACCATCCCTTCTCCCCACCACCACCACCACCACTCTGCAAACTCTGAAATCTGGTATAAAGGCTGCAAATTTGGAGAAGGGTTGCTACATCATTGTGCTATTTGCTATAGGGTTGCTATTTAATTTGATTTTAATTCTACTTTTAAATTTTGTATGTATGTATTTTATTGTTTGGCTGTGCACCGCCCTGAGTCCTTCGGGAGTAGGGCAGTATAGAAATCAAATCAAATAAATAAATAAATAGTAATTTTATTATATGCTTACTGACACTGCAAAGCCCTTGCTGGATCTTGCTATTTTCCAGTTGTGCAGCACTAAACATTTGCAGACAAATGCCTAAACAACTATATTCAGAGAATTTATAGATTGTGTTATCAGTGTATAGTTAACTTGGAAATATGCATGGCCTCAATCTATATCTTCAAAAGATTTCAGAGTAACTCTGGATCTTTATAATTATCTGTTGATTGTATCTTCTTAAGAAATAAAAACATCTTGTTTATGGCTTTTATCTCCTTGTAATCAGTTTCTGGGAGTATTGAGAGACAATGCTCTCTAATGATCGTTAACATTGATTACAGTTTAAAGGAGCTATGTTTGTCTTGTTTTTCAAGATTGGCAATGTGACCTACATAAATGACAACCAGAGCTATATCAGTATACCAGACAGAGTGTGGTAGACCTCTACTTGAATATAGACCTCTACTTGCCCATCAAAATTCCTGAATTATTTTATATCAATCATTGGCTAGAACCACACACAGTATACCCATTACAATAAATACAAGCTATAATATATAACACTGGATTTTGTTTTGATATCACACAATATAGAGAGCCAGTCATGATTTAAAGGCTACTGTGTTGATTGAAACTAACCAGTTGTGGCTTACCCAACAAGCTATTGCTTATTGAAAAGTGTGAATCATATTACTATGTTTAAGGTGTTTAGGATTACTATGATGAAGGGGGTGGGGAATAGACTCCTTTGAGTGTCATAGATGATATGAAGTAACCATGTAGGAACTGTTGATAAATATTTGAAAAAGTACTGAACTTACGTTTTGTTCTTCTAAATTTAATTTGATCATATACAGTAGAGAATTAAAGGATTGGATTGCAAAACAAACACATGATGATGGATGAATAGGGAAAACCAAGAAAGCTGCGGTTGAATAAGCTAATGAAATCTTCAAAAAGGGAGAGGTGAGAAGGTCAAAGATCAAAAGGGAATGTACAAAGAAATGTATGGACATGAAAGAAGCAAGGATGTTTTGCTAAGGATAAAAGTTTTGAAAAATAGAGCAAACTTTATTTAACTGCTCTTCCCTTTTTTCTTATTTCACGCCTTTAATTTCTTTTAGTTCCTTTTCTTTCTCCAATTTGTAGTTTTGGATTATTACTCCTTTTTGCATTTTACACTGCTTTTTATGAAAGAGAATAGTGTGATAGATACATGTCATGTGAAAAATTATACAGAATGATTTTTTTGCCTTCCAAGATTCTATTCTGCATAGTCCTTACATGATTCCAACATAGTCCAAACCCAGATTCTACTCTGACTCTGGATCTACTTTTGCTCCATTTACCATTCTAGGACTAAAATGATAAATGTAGATTCATAAATGAAGTAATTACAGATACATATTACATTTAGATTTGACACTTAGCCAAACTTCTCTTTTAATTCATATTCTCATCAACATATTAACTTATTCATAGTCTTATCAACTTATTTCTGATTGAAGGCATTGTAATGCTGTACTGTTGTAGTTGGACTGACACTATTCAATTATGGAGGATTGGTTTATTTAACAATGTTTTTTAGAAAATACAACTGGCTGGATTCACACAAACTATTAAATTGTAACCACGGTATAAATCACAAGGAAAGCATATGGCTTGATAAAGTAATTTTAATAATAGTCTTAATAATAATAATATAATATTGACAAAATCCCCATCAGGGAATTTCAATTGGTAACTTTACTTGGAACAGATTATA